TCAGCAGAAGAGCATAGATGCCCCTCCAAACCAAAGGGTGCAAACACACCTGGATGCATTTAGCAATGTCTTGTGCAGGGGTGCTGTGCCCTGAGCACCTATATGATATCTGTACCTTCCACTCATAGTATTTCTGTGAGGCTGGAGCTGCGCGGAAGGGAGGACAGTTGAGGGCAGTGTTGGAGCACCAGCAACTCCGCTAAGAGCGGAGGCGGGAAGGGAACGCGGGATTCAGGACAGCCGGGAGCTGCTCTCCCCTTTATGAAAGTTAGAGGGGAATTAGGTGTCTTGCTCGTTTATTTATGTTGTTTTTTTCTCTTCCCCTGTGTTTTTGTTAAATGATAAAATGCATATTTTGCTTTTTAGCAAAAATGTCTGCTATTTGCTTGTGCGTGTGTGAAGATTCCCGACCTACACCCAAAAATCACTTCCAAACATTAAGCAAAGCCAACTGATCTGGTGGAAAATCCCTGTTTTACTCTGGGTCCGACGCCGCGGCCATCGGGAAGGAAGCCACCCTGTGTCCTCAGTGCTCCCTTCCCACCTACATCTCCTTATCCCGCTCCCTTCCCACCTGCATCTCCTTATCCCGAAACACCTGGGGGGAGATTTAAGGGGGATTTGGGGCCGATTGGGGCAGCAAATGCTTGCGCCAGTCAACATTTTGCCCAGCGAGCAAAACAAAGCCGCGCGACCACCCGAAAAAGCTCAGAAAACTTGTTTTTTTCCCCATTTTTTTTTAATGTATACAGTTATGCCTGAGTTACAGAGAGACACCTACAGGCAGCAGGTAGTTAAAGCAAATACCAGTTTCTTTCGCTACTCTACGACTCCATATAGCTGAATAAATTATGGTGCGGTTACATATATGTACAGAGCGGCGCCCGGCCGCGCGCCCGCGCGCACACTCACACACAGGGGCAGGCTGCCTAGGGCACACACAGAAGCGACACATCCGCGGCTACGAGCGACGGGCAACGGCCTATAGTGCTATGGGGACGGTCCCCGGGGGCGCGTGGGGCTGTTAGGGGGTTAGAAGCATTAAATACAGAGGGGCTCGGGGCGGCGGGAGCCCCCCGGGGCGGGGAAGCGCCGCTTTGGGCTCTCCGTGCCCGCGCCGCCCGCTCTCCAGCGCGGGTGCGGGAGGTCTCCGCACGTCTCCGGTCCCGGCTCCGTGGCGGCTCCTCCGCGCTCGGCTCTGCTTCCAGGTACCCCCCTCGCCCCCTTCCCCCCCATCCCCACCCCCCGAGTTTGTCTCTTTTCGGGGATCCGGAAAACGAAACAATTCGAGGGAAAAAACAAAACAAAACAAATCCGACACCCCACCCTCCCGTACTTCGACTTCCATACACGAACGTCCCGTAAAATCAAACCGCAGAAAGCAAAAGCAAAAGCAAAATCCCCCTACTCACCCCAGCCCACCCTACAGAACCTGGAATGTATTTTGAAAGCACACGATAGGCAATTTTCTACAGTTCGCGGCCCTCCCCTTTCCCCCTTTTTATTTTCTATTTTTTATTTTTTATTTTTTTCTCTTTTTTTTTTTTTTTAACTAGCACGGCACTCACTGTGTTTTTAGTTATATATATATAAAAAAAAATGGAAAAAAAAAAGGAGCTGACTCTCTATATAAACATACAGCACGTGACCAAATTTCCAACTAATGTACAAAGTGCGACCACGAGGGGAAGGTCGGAGAGGAGCTACTGGCGCTAGCGCGGGGCCGTTTCCGTATTCCTCTACGAACTCTATTTACAGCAGGGCCCGGGGAGGGGTCGGGGGCTTCGCGGGGAACTGGCCGAGCTTGTTAAGACTTTGTTGTCTTCTTCTCTTCCCTCCCCTGCGGCCCGCGCTCCGGCTGCGAGCTCGGCTCGAGTCCCGTGGGGAAGAGCGCAGCGGCTCCCGGGAGCCGGCGGCCGCCTGGAGGCACTGGAGAACGCGGGGAAATAACCGGGAGAAGGGGAATCGGGGGAGCGGAGAGGTCTTGGTTAGTGGGAGAGCGGGCGAGCAGAGCTCCTGGCGCGGCGGGCGGCCGGGACGGCGCTGGGTGAGGAGCGGGGCCGGGCGGCCGCGGTACCCGGCTCCGGGGATGCCACGCGGCATTTGGGGTGCTCAGGTGGCAGCAGCCCTCGCTGCACCGATGCATCCAGGGAGGGGATGCCCTGGAGTTGGAGGGGCAGCCTGGAATGCTGCTGAGACGCGGGAATGTTCCCAGAGGTTTCCAGGCACTCATCTCCAGAGCAGGGACCACTGCAAGGACAGCCTGGCGCTCCCCCTTGGTCCCCTGGGACAGGTTTGGTGAAGGGTGTTGTGTGTGGGAATGTTATTTAAGCCAGGACTGGGATTCGGAAGGAAATTCCTCCTTGTATCAGACCGAAATAGTGGGCATGACGCTGATGGGTTTGTGGTTGGATTTGATGGTCTTAAAGGTCTTCTCCAGCCACAGTGATTCTCCGTTTCTAAGATTCTAAAGCAAAACCACCATCAAAACGTGTCCTTTGCTTCTTTCCCGGAGCTCCAAGGGGCACAAAAAGGGAGCGCGTTTAGACGACGCTCCTCTTCGGTCACCTCAAGCAAATCGGTCCCTTTGGCCTCACCTGCTCATCAGGCTGTAGCTGCTATATATTGCCCTGAGAAAGGAGTTGAGGAATGCAAGCGTCGACTTCCGTGATCCAAGGAAGGTCTCTTGGGGTTAGGGGGAGCCTTCCAGAGCAACGCGACTGCAAGAGCGGGCACTGAATCCCTACTCGGTGGCCCAAGCGGTGGAGCTGTCACCCTTCCAGCTCCTGCACAGAAATGGGCACGCGAGCGAGCAGGAGGCAGAATGGTCAAGCTTGGAGAGCAATAAGCTTGTAGGAATGTACAGTGGGCTCTGCTGCGGCTGTAAAGCCCAGCTGATGAAAGCCGTGGGTGGGATCTGACGGGATGCTGAGCAACCTACGAAGCCAAAGTCCGCTTTGGTCCAAACAGGTACTTGCCCACGTGGCTCCAGAGAGAGGAGCTTGGTGGCTCCTGATAAATGATGTGGGGGCAAGGCAGGGGAGAGTCCCCCAGGGGAAAAACAAAAACAAAAAAAAAGGCTGTGAAAAGAGCCTAGAGTGATGGGCTCATAGAGGTTGCATGGTCATGCCTGCTGGAGGTCACCTAGACTTAAATGGGGAATGTCTCTCCCTTAAGTCCCAACATCGCTGGAAGTAAGTGCGTCAGAAACACTAGTGCTCTGCACGTCACTTCGTACGCTGCCATTGCCAGTGGTTTCAATATTGGACTTTACAAATGGGCTCCTCTCTGGCCCAGCTTCAGCACATTAGGGTGGTGGAGCAGCACTCCCCATCCTCACCACCAGCATGTTCTTGAAAGGAGCCCTCTCGGCACAGAAGGAAGAGGGGAAGAAAGTCTGTAATGTTAGAGATCTGCTTAGGAATCATCAGGCGTCATTACCACATCCTAAAGGGAAACTCTTTAGAAAGCCTGTGTGCTCCGCGACTTAGCAATAACCCCGTCTCGTTGCCTGCTTTTATCTGAGCGGCGTGATGAGCAGAACTGCGAGACGATACAAAGGCGAGAGCGCTGGCTGCTACAGAAAAGGGGAGTGATAAATCCGGAGAACAAGATCTGGCTTAGAGTGAGAGAGGCTCCACCAGCGAAAGAGAAAGCGGAGGGGAGGAACCGAGAGATTAAACTGCACAGAGCAGCCCACGAAATGCCGACAAGCTGCACGGATGGGGAGAACCACGCGTTTCTCCTGGTAGCTAAAGGATGGAAAACACCATCGGGAAGGAAGGCGGTACAAGTAGGTGCAACCTTCTGACTGAAGGCACCTTTTCTTCAGGTTGCCTCCCCCATGACTCTGAATCCACATCCCATTCCTCATGGGGAAGCAGCTTTGAGAAAGCCCCATTAGAACAAGCACTGTTTCCTCCAGGTGGCCCCTTGATTGCAGAAGAACCTGGCTTTGTGAACCGGCCCCTTGAACAGGCATCTTATGCTCCAGACTTCCTGCTCCCACCTCAGTGATCCCAACCAGCCTTCGTGGTGCTGCGTGGAAGAAGAGATGGTCCTCACCCTTCTTGACTGGTTAGGCAGAAGCTCCAGGGCTGTCAGGTGTCTCATGGCCTTCCTCTGCACACGCAGAGCCAGGGTTTGCTACCACACCTCTTGCTGCTGCTCTCTGATGCCAAAGTCCTTGCAGTGAAATAACTTGGTCTAACTTGCTCTAACTTGGTCCCCATGAGAAGAAGTAAACGTTACTCCCGCCTGTGCCCAGGATCTCCAGTCCTCATGCAGCAAGTCATATTTACATTTTCCAAAGGTCCCAGGCTGGATGGACTTATGGATCTTGCCCCTGCTTAGCAGCAATCTGGCCTGCTTGGTCCTTGCTTTGGGAAGCCATCAGGGAGAAGAGGAGGGTAAAGCAGGGTGGGGGAAATTACTGTCACTTTAATTTATGTCTATGGGGTTTTGTTTGTTTGTTTGTTTTCTTTTTGTTCTTTTGTTCTGTTTTGTTTTGAACGAGTTCTTCTATTTGGTCCATAGGTCTTCTGTGATCCTGGTTTGCATCACCCTTAATGATCAGTTTGGTTCCTCCTTCCTATACAACATTTACCAAATGTACAGCAATGGAAAGAAAAGGAAATGAAATGAAATGCTTCTTTCTTCTGTTTTTTTTTTTCCTAACAAAGAAAAAAAAAAGATCAATTCGGCTTTGACTATGCCAACTACCTAGATCAATGGAAAGTCCTCAAGCGTGGGCAAAATGCCACTGTGGCCAGGTAGGTTGGAAGGAGGGCACAACCTCAGGGTTAATAAATGCACCCAACCCATTGTCCCTGGCCATGGGAGGAGGTGGCAGAGGCCAGGCAAGCCTCTGAGAAGGGTGCTCTTTGAGGAGCGGATACTTGGAGAGCCCTCCCTCTCTTTCCTGTCTCCTTCGCAGTTCAGGTTGGTGCTAGCTGGAAGGGAAGTGGGAAGGAGGAGGCTCCGGGGACAGGTAGATTCCCGGGAAGGCTGGTGGTGCTGCAGTGGGTTGTTGGCACAGTCGGACTCTTCAGTAAGCTTGGCCTGTCTCTACTGGTAGGAGGCCCAGCACGGCTGAATGTTCTCCCAGCTTCATCCTGCGCTGTGTCGACAGGCTCACGTTCTTGGCCAAATAATCAACAGCAGCTGAAGAAGAGGTAGGAGGGGAAGAGAACAAAATGAGGATTAGGAATTGGTGGAAATCAGGCATTTGGCATCAAAGGGTATAACCAGCAGAACCCGCAGACCGACTTGGAGAAAGATAAGCCTAATGCAGCGGCTGTCACAGACACCAGGGCTCTCTATGGACCTACTGAGAAGGCAGAGATGTCTATCATGAAAATGGTGCTTCCAGGGGAGCTGAGACTGAACGGAAAGCCAGTGACTTGAGTCCTCACCTCCCCGCGTCATCTCCCGCCTGCAAAGCCAACTGGTGTTCTCCGGATGCCAAGGATTTCAAGGGGAGCCTCACCAGTCTGCACGGGGTTCACATGTGGCTCCTCCACCGTGGGCTGACTCATCTCCAACCCTTCTGCTGCCGCCCTCCTCCACCCTTCCCAAGGGACACGGCCGCGCTCACCTCTGTCTTTGCAACAGCTCCTGAGGCCTGGCAGGAGCTGGGTCCCACCTCGACCGATGGCCCCATGGTCTGAGGGGGAAGAGGACTGGGGCACCATGATGACATTGCTCATTAGCTGAGCTTCAAAGTCTCTCCCTTTCGCCAGCTTTAATGTCTCAAATTAGATTAATAAGGAGCTGGCAGGAGACGTACAATCAGTGCCAATGAGTAAACAAATTTCAGCCATCAACGTCTTGTCAGACGCCTGCCCCAAAGGAGGTCCCTTCCAGGCACAAATTCTTATTAGACTTGTCATATCTATTAGAATTCCTTTCACGCTTCTGCGTTCCATCACCGGCATCATTAACACAGCTCCGGCCTTTGGGAACCGCAAGGACCACATTAATCTGGCATCTCTGCTCCATGCCGGCTGGGCCAGCGTGGCCTGTGTAGGTGCTCGCAGGAGCGGAGCGAGGGGACCGGGCACGAGGCGAGTGACGCTCGTGGGCTGAAGGGAGGTCTGAAGGGAGCACAGGCATCCGAGGCTGAAGGGCCTGGAACCCAGAAAGCGTCTCCTGGCCTGGGATCATGGGGTCCTCGTGTTGAGCACCAGGCCCACCAAGCTGCTATGGGGCCTCTGGCTCCGGGACATGTGTATGTAGGAGCAGGGGCTGGGGAAGACCTCAAGCTCTGGCTCTTGGACAGACTTTATGAGCTTGGCCCCAGAGATTTTGGGTAGCCACGTTGAACAGTGTCTTTGAGAGCCTGGAGGTACAGGTAGGCCAGAAGAGCAAATTCACTTGGCAGATACGTCAGCCCTGGCCATGCGTGTTTTATTTTGTTTATGTTTTTCTTTTAGTTTTTGGTGCTTCTGCTGTGTATCTGTGTATCTATTTTTTGTGTATCTGTCTTTGTGGGTGCCCATGAACAAGTCGGTGTCTACACTCTGGATGAGTTCAGATGTGTACTTAGGGAAGGAGGGAGAGCAAGGCGGATGGTCACAGAATCTGGGAATCTTGAGGTTGGAAGGGACCTCTGGAGATCGTCTAGTCCTACCCTCCTGCTCCAGCAGGGACACCCGGAGCAGGGGTACAAGGTGGCTTCCAGGTGGGTTTGGAAGCTCTCCAGAGAAGGAGCCTCCCCAGCCTCCCTGGGCAGCCAGCCCACCCATTCAGTCCACACTTCTGCAGCTTCCCCACGAGGATGTTTTGGGAGACAGTGTCAAAAGCCTCGCTGAAGTCCAGGGTGACAACATTCCTGACTCTCCCCTCATCCATCCATCCAGTCATCCCATCGTAGAAGGCTATCAGATTGATTAGACCTGACTTCCCCTTGGTGAATCCGTGCTGACTACTCCTGATCACCTTCTTTTCCCTCACGTGCCTAGAGATGCTCTCTAGGATGAGCTGCTCCATCACCTTTCCATGGACTGAGGTGAGGCTGACCAGCCCCTAATTTCCCGGAGATGAGGCTCCAGTTTCCCGACTGGTCGGAGATGTCCATTCTGTTCTGGGCACATCCAGCAAAGGACACTTGGTGACAAGTTCATCCCCCTCAAAAAAAAAAAAAATCTCCCAACTTTGTTTTTTGTGCCTGTGGGAAGAGCACAAAAGCACCGGCGCATCTCAAGCCAGAACCAGAATTATGTTTTGCTGCCTAAATACACGCTGAAAGCCAAACCAAAAGGAAAAACATACCGAATGGCCTGGGTGTTTATTTGCTCCTGTGACAGCAAAAGTGTTTACGTGGGAATGTTTCTAAAACAGAGAAGCAGGAGGAGAGACATGGGAAGAGGAGAGTCCAAAGTCTACTGAAGTTAGAGAGCTCTCCATCGTGTCCTGGACAGGCACCGACTTCATCCTCTGTTCTACGGGGCCTATCCTCACCATAACAAAAACTCATTTCTACTAAATCACAGTGCTCCCTATAAAAAAAATGCTTGTTTTTTATTTTTTTTGGTGCCACTTCAGTCCAAAGAAGAAACAAATAATTTGAACTGAACGTCTATAACTTTTGTGAGGGCCACCTCAGACCAACCAGCTTTTAGACAACATTTGGAGCGAAGCAGTAAGGAATTTAAGGAGGAAGGGAATTCAAACTATTAATGCACGGGGAAAGATGAGGAAAAATGATGATATTGAAGTCAGCTTCATGTGTTTGCTCTGACAGGACTAATTGTCAGTGAAAAATGGTTCCTTGTGTAGCGAGTATTACAAATAGGCTCATTCTAAGGGAGGCTGATGGTGAAATGAGCTTGAGCCTTGCCTTTAGTTGCCTGTATCTATATGCTTCTATACATACACCCGTGCACCCAGGCAGACTGTGCTCTTGCTTATCAACCCTACCTCAGAGCAGTTCACGTTGGCTTGCGATGCATCTGTCATGCAACGTTGGCTCTCTCGGTAGGATTTTCCAACATGCTGGTGTGACTCTCATGCCTGTGCTGGGGATCACGGTGAGTATATCTAGGTTCTCACCTTCCTTTTTTGCCCCAGCAGGACAAACGTGTCCATGACTTGCCACCTGGATGTCTCTGGGCATTGGGACACATCTGGACTTACTCTACTGACCATGCTGGCCCCCAAACATCTGGCAGCCTCTGGACTATAAACCAAGGCAGGATTCTGTGATTCATCCATTCTATGATTCTCCTGACTCCAAACCAAGCCCACTGGACTCAACCTCCATCTCAGACCCAGACCTCTAAATTGAATGGGGTTCAACAGAAAAAAAGGGAGCTCTGTGACCCACATGGGGAAAGGGGGCCAAGCAACGCAAGCAAGGCTGGGGAAGCAGTTCTTCCCGAGCACGAGGAGAGGCCCAAGCAAAAATTCCTGCAGCAAACCGAGACAAACCCTTCTTTCTCTTCCCCTCTCCTTTGCTGCTTTCCCTCTCTCTCGGAAAATTTAGTTTGTCCTCCTTATTTTATTTTTTACACACATGGGTGTGACTAACGTCTTGCCCAAGGGAATCTTTATTGAAAATACATGGTATTGGAATTTGTTTAAGATTTTTATCAATAGCACGTGTGTCCAGCCTCACATCCAGAAGCGAGGGGAAGGTCAAGGGGTCACAGATCAAACTCCCGAAAAACAAAAAAAGGAGGGGTGGGGGGAAACTGCTATTGATCCCGTCTGCCGCCACAGCCGGTTCTCATTTAGCTGTAGAAGTTAAAGACATTAAAGGGCTGTGACGGAGAGAGGAATAAAAAGCCACAGCCAAATGGAAGGAAAGGTCACTGAGGACAAGCTGTGGGCAAGCAGGAGCACTCCCGGAGGAAGAGGATGCACCTTTAACCCTCGGCGGATCACTCTCTCACAACACCACTCTCATTATTAGTTTAACACCGGCAGGTGAGCCCTTTGCCAAGGCTCGCTGGTGTTTTCGTGACCCAGGCGTTGGGAGGAGGAACGGAGCCTCCCAGGCACTGCCTTTCGGGCCCGGCGTTTGGGTTGAGGGCAACTTTCTCCAGCGTTGAGGCCACCAGGATTGGCTCCGTGGCAAAGCTGCGGAGCGAGGACCTCTGGAAGAGCGCGGAGAAAGCAGCAGCTATCGCTCCACGTCACCCCGCAACGCTCTAATGCCCCAGCCTCCTTGGGCTGAGGCGGGGTGGACTCCTCTTTGGAGGGCTTTTGGAGAAGCAGGAATTGGAGAGGGAAAAGGAGAAAAGGCCGCAAATGTTGGTCCTTTCTCTACTAGAAATGCTTTACCTCAAGTCTTTTATTTAGGACTTCTCGCATGGACTGCAAGGGTGTTTGGAAGACTATACGGATGGAGCAAGCTGCATATCTGTCTAGTGACCCCTTTCCTCTGGAGATTTTCACCCATTCCAAGGTCTTCTTAGATCCCTCCCTCTGTTCTCCTGCCCATCGAGCAAGGGCCCCACGTTCAGCGAACCCTCCTGCTCAGCGGGTACTCACTTTGTCCGTACTGTCCGTACTGGTAGCCAGCCACCGGGTCCACGCTGTAACTGGTGGTGCTGTAGGTGGGAGGACAGTAGGACTGGGAAGTTGGCAGGCTGTCCACAGACTTGATGGAGTCGCTGCGCTGGCTGCAGCTGGCCGAGATGGAGTTGGTGGTGTCTAAGCCGCCGTGAAGGGGAGAGATGGAGAAGTCGGCCTGGGGCTGCGGAGGAACCCCGCTGGGGTTGCTCAGGATGCTCATCACCTGCGGGAACACCGGACACGCTCCGTCAAGGAGGACCAAGGGAAGCAGACGGCACCAAGCGCCCTTGGGCAGTGCAAGGAGAACCAGGCTCCATGGAGAGGCGCTTCCCTTTGGCCAGGCTGGAGAACAAAAGGCTCCTTCCACTTACAGAAGATGGGCAGAGCCCTGGGGAGTGTCCCTGTGCCCAACGCCTTTTTTTTGGTGCTCTTGAAAGGGATGGGGGATAACTTTATTTTTTAGTGTTATGCTCAGTCCTCAGTCTGTGTTTGCTGACCTGCCAGATGCAACGTCGGCTCGTGCTGGTTTCCTGCCCGAGATCACTCGCCGGGGATGCAGGGGAAGGGCTGCACCGTGGACAAGGCCAGGAAGGACCAGTACCCATGCGAGAAATCCGACCTAATAACCCACACGGTCCTTTCTTTCCTATCCCCAAAAGCTGGGAGAAATTTCCCAAGAACCAGGCCGTGATGTGCAAGGGAGACCCACATCGAGACTCGAACTCCCCCAAATGCCCCGAAGCAAAAGGACTGCAGCTCTCGCTTCAGCTCCTTTCAATACAACTCACCATTTTCCAAATGCAGTTAAACCCGTGCTATTAAACTCCCTCCCTGACATAAATGAACACAGGTTTTGGGGCTCCTTTGCAGCAAACGAATGTGGAGAGGGGACGGCCGGGCGCTGCGGCGGGGAGCACGGCAGCGCGCGGATGCCGCGCGTCCGCAAAGCTCCCAATTTAGCCTAACCTCCCTGACATCAATTAAAGTGGCAAATTGGAAATACTCGGAGCCTGGCAAGTGGTAAAATGAGCCCTTTATGCCCCGGCAGCGGCCTGGTGAGCTATTGTGCTCCGGAGCCTTTCTCCGGAGGACACAAGCGGGCTTGTACGGAGCCTGGCAGCCCCCCGGCACCGCCGCGTCCCCCCCGGCCGCAGCCCGCGCTCAGCGGCCGCCCCTCTGCCTTCCCAGCGGCTCCTCCGCCCCCGGAGCGGGGAGTCCTGCAAAGACGAGGGGGCCCTAATGAGCGGCCGCCCCCCGTCTCCAGCACCCAAGACGTTCCCGGGCGCATCTTCATTCCCAGGGGCATCTTCATTCCCGGGGGCATCTTCATTCCCGGGTACATCTTCGCCCGCGGCGCCTTCTCCTTTTTCTCCCCTGCGCTTTGCAGCTTTGCGCTCTGCTGAGATTTGGGGGTTGCCCCTTGGTCCCCCCCAGAACACAGAGCCGGCCGGGCCCCACGCGGTGCAGGCAGAGGCCAAAGGGCCTCAGGCCGCCCCGGCCCCCGCGCGCGGCGCCCGGATGAAGCCGTCGGCGCGGCGCGGAAGGAGCCGGCGGGACAGCGCGCCCCGGGACGCCGCGGAGCCGCGCGCACCGCCGGCATGGAAAGCAAGGAAATTGCCGTTTCAATAGGCAGGAGCTGGAGCGGATTAGCGCCAGCAGCAGCCCCGGCCAGCTTTTCCGGGGGGTTGCAAGTAGACCCTTCCCGCCTGCAGGCCGGGGGCACCGCGGTGGGTTTTGCCAGCTGCAGAGTTGCCTGCAACCTTCCCCAAAAGCTGCCTTGGGCCCTCAGCTCTGGCCTGGGCACGGATGCTCCGTGCGAGCCCCTTGACGCCGCCGGCTGCAGCCGTGGCTCGCGGTGCCCGTCAAGCCCACGGGGCTGCGGCGCTCGGCACGCGCGGCCTCAGCTCGTGATCGCGGGGAGAATCGGGTGCTTCCAGCAACGAGGCTGCTCCCTGTCCTATTTTTGGAAAGCTCCGTCCTCGCCAGCGCCGAGCGCGGATGTTTCCGCCTCTCCTCGGGCTCCGTCCCTGCGCTGTCCAGGTCTCACAGTGCTGCTTCCCAGGGACATGCCGGGATGCACGGGAGGTGGCGTGGGAAGGGGAGAGGAATTAGGGCAAGTGGAAGCACTTAGAGAGCGAGGGCTTTTCCAGCGCTCTTCCTCGTGGCCGTCTCCCCCAAACGCTCAGCTGCTTTATATTACGCAGGGAAAATAAAAGGGGTCTTAAAGCAACCAGACGCCCTATTAACACTTCCGCTGCGCTGCGTTTTGGAAAGAAAGAGCCATGTAAAGCAACTTTCCGAAATGAAATCCAGGTTCCCGCTCTCTGAATTCGGGTGGGGAGCAAGACCGGAGAAAACGCTCGCTCAAACCCCAATGAAGAAATTAATTGTTGGATTAATTAATCGGCCTTTTAATCAGTCCGAGTCAAACCCGGTTGAAATCCCAGCTCTGCTAACGACTCCCAAGAGCTTGTGCGAGTCCCTTAAAACTCATCTTGACTAACCACAGCCGTGAGAAGGTGGCCAAGGCAAGTTCCTCTGGAAACCCTCCGCAGAACCCGACCCGTTGAAGGACAACTTGTCCCCTCCCGAGACCCACTTTCGAAAAGCACGGGTTGAATTTCCCTCTGGAAATCCGCAGCAGAACAGAAGGATGAGGGGGTTTCATCAGGACACCAGGGTTCTGATGGTGTTGGAGAACAGTGTCCTCTCTCCCCAGGACTGTAAGGTACTAGAAATAACAAGGACGAACCAGAGATTTCCACTCACGCCTTGCTCCACAGCCACCAGCACGGATAATCCTACCCAAGCCCTCCAGCCTTCTTGCTTCAGCTGGATAAACTCCCTTTTTTTCCAGGCAACTTTTGAACTTTGGAAAGTCTGGAGGCATCTGGAGAAATGCCTTCCTCAAGAATGCCAAGTCCTTTTGCCTTTCCTCGGTGACCTTGCTTCCTTATAATTTATTACTTCTTGGTGCATTATCATCACTAACTAAAAATCAATAGGCACTTCACATCTGTAAGGCTTTATCTGGAGGGAAATCTGCTCCCTGCCCGTCACCGTGACTGACAGCCGTCCCTTCCCCTCCCTTGTGTCGCAGGGATCGCTCTCCCTTTCCYATCTCCTCTTCCCTCGCTGCTATCCCAGATCAGTCCCAGGCTCGGCGCGAGCTCCGTGCTCRGGGCTATGTCCATAACGGTGCTTGGAGGCTTGGACCCTTCCCGGAGGTCCCTTGTCGTGGAGGGGAGAGGGCTCTGGATATGTTGGGGACACCAATGCACAAAGGACCCTCGCGACGACAGCGGCGGCGCCCGCCTCCCTCCCCAGCCTCCTCTCCGCAGCTCCCCCCTGTCCTCCCCCCGGGACGTTTCATCGCTCTCGCCCATACTTTAAAAGAAGGGGAGTTTAAAAAAAAAAATGTAATTAATTCCCTCCATTTCTGAGCTGGCCCTCAGGGCCTCTGGCCGTGGAAACGGTAGCGGGGGAAATGTGCACCCTTTATGATAAACGAAGGCGGCTTGGGGAAGGGAAGTGCAATTAGGGCCTTCAATGTGGGCGATCAGGCCTCCAGATTTGAGGYTGGGAGGGTTTTTGGGGAGGAGGTGACGGGTGCGGGGGGAGCTGCAGGGCCAGGTGGAGCCATGGGGAGCGATGCCGGGAGGCGGAGAAGGGGCCACGGGGAGCAGAGCAGCTCAGCGCGAGCGGCCCCAAAGCCACCGGCGCCGCCACACGAGCCCTTTGCAGACCTTGGCCTCCAGCACCGGGTCCTCCAGKCCCAAAACACCCAACCGGGACACCAGAGACCCAGGTGGCCCCGGGACACCTCGGCCCTGAGAGCCCCAACCAGCGCTTGATGCTGCCGTGTCCCACAACCAGCTTGGCCCGAGGGGAGGCAAACTGGACACCAGAAGCGCCTGAAAAGGGGAAAGCGGCTCCAGGATCACCAGGGCTGCCATTTGTAGTGAATTCTTTGGGCGGGTCACGAGCTACCCAAAGGTTCTTAGCTGCTTTCCAGGTTCTAGGTTCTTAGCTACGTTGTRGGAACCCAGCTCAATCTTTTCCATCGTTGCTTTGCTGCCCGTTGGGCTAATCTGTTCCTTCTCTGGCRCAGAAGCCGACCCTTCCTCATGTTAATGCTTTTTGATCTCCGTGGAGTCATTTTCGCATGGTGGGAAGAGGACGAGTAGATTATTTTACACATACATTAAATGGAAACCAAATGAAGAGGTGACTGTAGGACTACTGAAAGCTGAAGAAAGGGTTGGGAGGAGATAAATACAGTTTCCCCAAAGATCTTCACTTGAAAGGAGGATAAATATATGCAAATATGCCCCTAGGTAGGACTAAAATGACTTATGTAGCAATCACTAACACTGCACTCACAAAACCAAGCAATTAATTTTGAATATTTTCTAAAGCACCAGGCCTGCCTGAGTTGTATCCCCATGTGCCAAATCAAGGCAGTAAGTGTACCCATTAATTGTGGCTTTGCAACCAGGCCAAGGAGCAACCAACTACACAGAGCTCCGTGTTCCCTGTCCCTAGAAACCTCTGATCCAGGTGACCGTAGTCTCCTCTGCCTAACGGCACTACGGAGCCACCGGATTCCCTTACCTCGCGCTCAGCGCAATGACAAGGATGCAAGGCCAACGCCAACGGTTGGGTCCATCCAACGCCCRCTGGACAAGGATTTCGAGGGCCGAAGGGAATGATGATACAAGCACGGGCCAACCCAATCTCACAGGCTTTAGATAGCTCCCACCCAACCTCAGATCCTCTGTGAAAGCAGCAGCTAGGCTGTTGATCTAGGGAATGCTTATGGGCTTCTTTGACTGCACTTTTCAATAACCTCAGGAGCATTTGGGCTAAATATTTGACTTCTCACTAAAATCAGCATGTTACTGGAACGCTTGTACTTAAATTGAGTAGGGATGGACAAGACTAGAAACCACAAAAGCTCCCCACAGATGGCAAAAGGTTGCTATAGGAGGGCTCCAGGGCTGACCTGACTGCTGATGTACAGTAGAAATACTTCATTTTCGTAACCTTTTGCACTTCAAATGGGAAAGCAGGAGGAGACAAGTGAAATGACTCTCCCAAGGACATAGAAGGTGAGCTAGATGCAGAGCCAGGAGCAGAACATTCCTGAATCCTTTCCRGACAGGTTGGACCACCCCCCTTTTGAAGGATCAGCGATGGTAGCTCTGGGGATGTTCTTCACAAGCAGTACCTTTTGCCAGCGAACAGTAAAGYCAAATATATCATCAATGCCCTTACACATCTGAAGGGATGTTTCAGGGCCAGGACACAGCAATTGAAATGGAGATGACTGTTGGCATCCTAAGATGACCCTGGTCGCTTGATGGATGAAGAGCTGCCCACGCTAGTGATGGAGAGGGCTCATGGAGTCGTGCCGGGGAGATCAGATGGAGTCAGGGGTGCAATGGAAGCTGCAGCGAGGCCAAGGCAGGCTGAAGAGGGGAGGATTGGGGAAAGAAAAGGCGATGGGAAGTTATTACCTGATTGTTCAAGGCTATGGTGAGGTTCCACCGGGAGCACTGCATCTTGTTTTGGGCACCCTGCTTCTGTAGAGACGTACAAGTTATGGAGAAGGTCTAAAGAAAAGTTTCTAAAAGCTGTACAAAAGAAGGGGGAGGTCTTCGCTAACAATGGTGAGAAAAAATGCTTAAGCCTGGATGGTCTGGGAAAGAGAAAGGGGGCTCTCTGTGCGGTGGAAATACGTTAGGATAACCAGAAGCACCACGGGACTGTCTACCTGGGGAGGGCTCTGATGAACCTTGTRGTAGAAGCATAATTTGGAGGGGAAAGGGGTCGGTGCTGCTGGAGAATTGCATTAAAACCTGCTTGATCTACAAACCACCCCTGGCATTAGGGCACCAAACTCTCCTGTCGTTTAGACAAAAGCAGAGAGGGAAAAATCTTTAGCCTGGGTAACTAGTGAGGAARCCAGAAGGCTGCTGTGGGCTGTCCAAGGCAAAGGGGTCTCCAGTTYTCCATTTCACTAACAGGCAAAGCCAGTGGGGACACGGGCTCGCCCCTGCCAGAAGCGAGGCAGACTCAAGCCAAAAGGCTGAGCAGTCCCTTGCCAAGCTGCAACATCCAAAGGGGGTTGATTTGGGGGCACGACTGAGCACGTCCCCTCTGAAAAGCAGGTTCCTCAGCCATGTCCCTAGCTGTGAGCCGAGGATGTGGCCCGCTGGCCTCCCTGGAGCCGGGCTGCTCTATCCCAGAGACGCTTCTGGATGGTTGCACCCACATGCCTGGAGTGCACGAGGCCTCTCAAGCYGCTGGCTCTTGGCAAGGATTCCGGAAAGAGCTTTCTTGGAGCATCAGGGCTGTGTTTAGCCCGTCTCAGGGTAGCCCACCTTGCGCTACGGGCCGGCTCGGCCATCGCTTGCTCTGCACCTACTTGACCATTCTTGGGCAAGGCCACCCATGCAGATGGGGAGGAAGGACGGGCTTTGGGGGCTGCAGGAGAGATTCGAAATAGCCTCAAGTTGACAAATTTCCTGCTAAATCAGCCCTAAATCGATTCCTATACACCAGCTGATGGCGCTAAGGGCAGGATGGGGAGAGCACCCAGCTCGGCAAATTAAACCACTTTGTGACCATGGATCCTTCCCCCTGCAGAGACCTCTCCCATCAGCTGCTCCACAGAGACCGACAAAGACAACCCCAGTCTCACCGCCCGGTGCCCCCCTTCCCTCCTCCTTTTCCACCTCTCCCCCTGCTATTTACTCCTTTCCGAGCCCGGGCTGAGCCCATGGGCGCTCGCTCCGCTCGCCGCCCGCTGCCGTCGACACGGCTGCCGGAGCGCGGGCGCCGACTCGCCGCTCGCAGGCGAGATCCCCCCGAGTCCCCCCGAGTCCCCTCCCCTGCTCGCCTCTCGCTCGCTCCTTGGAAGCGGCTCCGGGTGCCATGCTACAAAGAGCCCCCGAGAGGCAGATCCCAGCCCCAGGCGAGGCTGCTCGCCGCGCTGATAGTCCCGCGCATCCGCACTGCCCGTCCCCGCTCCTTGTTCTTTCCCCCCTCTCTTCCCCCTCCTTCTTTCTCTGATCAATCGAGGGCTGTAATCAGTTAAGGTCCAGCTTAACTGCAGTGTAAGCCACACCAGTTAAGCGAAGCCAATGCCTCCAGGCTTCCCGTGGTAAATACGGAGAGGTCATGGGGAGATGAAATGGCCCCGATAAGTTCAGCAAGTGCAAGGCTGGCTCGCCTCGCGCCGAGCGCTTAATAACTCGAGCTGGCAGAAGAAGGGAAGAAAGAGAAAATGAGAGGCGCTTCCCGGCACCAGCTCCCGCTCGCTCGCTCTCTCAATTCCAGCTTTCCCAGAGGGGTCTCGGTGCAGTCTGGAAGCGCGGGGTGCTCTTTGCAGCACAACCAGATGAATGAGCGAGCCTGGTCGCCGGCTGGGAGCAGCCTCATTAATTTCCGATCGTCCCCGTCTACCGCAGGGACTGGCTCTCCAAGGCAGGGCCTCTTCTTTCTGTCATCGCTAGGAAAAGAGCAGCTGCTGGCTCCGAGGGAAAGGCCTTTTGCTGCCCTGTGTAACGCCACTTGTGCTCCTCTCTGCTTTGCTAGGGAGCAGTGGGGAATTTTCAGATCTACCGGTGGCTTAAACAGGGGCTGCTCTTACAGCTGAGATGCTCCAGCCAGCAGCCCCTTTCCCTGCTCTGCTCCAAGCTTTTCCTTCCTCTCCGTAAATGTACCATTTGCAGAGATGTTCTAGGGGAAAAAAAAMCACCCTGAAACCGAGCCCCTTGTCCTGAGGATGCGGGCGATGCAATCAGCCTCAGCCTAAGCACCTGCAGTGCTGGGTACTTGCAGCTTCACCACGCGCTCCTCAAGCTCCTCAGCTGGTTTCGGTGCGGAAACCCCGGCACTCACTTTGCCCTCGGGCATGAGAAACCCGGCCCGATTCGGTCCCCAGCACATCTGCACCCCACTTCTCCCAGCTCTTAATCCCAAGCTCATGACTCCAGGTGAGCGCCACATTGATGTGTGGATACAGATAGGACCGTGTTGGCTCATTTCTAATTAGACATTGGCCCACTGGGCATTACAGATAGGGGGAAAAAAAAMCCCAACACGTGGCATTTATTAAAAACCATGCAGGCACACAAAGAGACGAACAAAATCTTTAACCACAAGCGATAAGAAAGCCCTAAAGCATTTTAGTTTAGATAAGTATCCCWGGACGCTGCTTCCTCCAGCTCTCAAAGCTTTGGGGCTGGAGTTTTCCTCTATGCAGTAGGAGCTTGTTTGAGCAGGGGATGAGATTTCCTCTTCCTTGGGTGTTTTGGCACCGTYGCCCCTGGCCTTTGCAGAGCTTGCAGGGCTTTCCCAAAGCCCTTGCTGGCAGGAGAAGCAGCTGAATAATAAAGTGATGGTGTAAAAGTACGAGAAACACCTCGTGTTAACGAGATATCGTGGCTCACATGCCATTAATGGTGCTTCCTTCTAATCTGCTGCTCAAACTCACTTTTGGTTATGCCCAGTGGTACTCTGATACAAAAAAATGCCTTTTTAGCAGTTATAACACGCCTAGTACTGCATGCTGTGCAGAACAGTTTGCTCCAGTCTCGAGCTCGGAAGAATATCGGTTCTTACAAGAGCTGCTGGATGGGCTGAAGCCACCAGGAAGCCACCTCCAACACTAGAGGAACAACACTCCTCCTTTCTAAAGCCCGGCTTTTCTTACTGGTGACATTCACTACCTTAAGAAGCAGGTTTTAAGAAGACACGAGGACGAAGGGCAGCTGTCTGCTGGCCAAAGCGCGCCCGTGCCAAAGGGAAGGGTGGTTACCCCTGTAGAAACGAAACCTCTCCCAAGACAACGCGGTGACAGCGGGTGCCCAAAGCACCGTGTCGCTCGGGCTCCTGCACGGACGCCAGCCAGAACCCTCAGTATTAACCAAGCCCCTGATTTAGACGCGGCTTTTCTCGGATGGAGACGTCTCGATGGAAGGGCTCGCAGCAATGCAGACTCCGCTACCTGCCTCGGCTGCACAAACTCCTCGGGCCGGCTTTGCAGGTCCCGGCGCTTGGAAGCATACGAGGCACTGCTGATCCCGAGATAAATGGTGGAAAAGGGATTAGAGATACTTAGCAGAGGAGAGGGAAGACTCAGGAAGGGCTGATTATTTTCAAGATATGACTATTTAAAGATAATGATTGCATAAATTTAATTAATGCATTTTCATGCTGCAAATGGCCGTTTTGTAATTAATGTATCTGGCCTCGCTAAGCATGGGAGATCGCATCTCCCCCCCCCCGCCCGCGCCGGCGTCCCCCCCGCCGCCTCCYGTTTAATGAAAGACAGAAAGCAGATGACAGAAACAATTTGTCAGCCCGTACGGGTGTCAGATGCCTAATTGGTTGCGCTGAGTTAGTGCCGAGGGAYGGGGGGGAGAGGGTCGAGGCTGGGGGATCTCTCCCCTTCTCCCGGCCGCGGCGTGGGGGTCTGTTTGGGCGGACGGGGCGGCTGTTGCTTGTTAATTGATGGAGCTTTGGGGTGCGTTGGGGTGGGCACCATTCAAGCCCCCAGCTGGGGCCATTGACTCTGCGCTCGCTGTGGTGCGGAGAGGAGCCGCTTGCCGTCCTCCAGCCGCAGACAGGCTGGCAAGGCCGGATCGGGTGGGACAAGGAGCATCCCCAGCCCCTCGCACCTGGAAACGGCGGCTGGGAATKGGAAATCGGCTGGAAATCGGGAAATCAAGGGACCTCGGCTCCCTGAGATGGCCAAGGGCAGCGGGACCCATGGCTGCAAGCAGGAAGGCGGCTGCTTTCCGTGTTTCCCCCCCTCTTTCCAAGTATTTCTGTGAATCCACGGCACGCAGCGTGCCTGATTTCGTGCCTTTAGCACCCTGCGCTTGTCACCCCGCAGCTGCAAAACCCCGGCCCGGGGAGGGTGAAGGGCTCGAGGCCGCACGGAGGTTTATGAGGGAACAGGAATTCCAGCGCCACTGATTCAAGGCCCATGTCCTGCTTCCAGGTGGCCTCCCCCTTGCAAGGAATGATGCAGGGACGAGGGGAGCATCAGGGACGAGGGGAACATCAAGGCACGAGTGCCACGTGGCGCCGATCACTTGGTGCACCTGGACGGATGGTGCACCTGGATGGATGGCTCTACCGCAGAAGAAACACTCCAAACAAGCCCCAAACCAATCTAGAAGAAAAAGGATGGGATAAGACTCCAGATTCCTGAGCTGATTCCCTATCAAGTCAAGAGCTACAAGACCAGCCTTCTAAGTCTCGCCCATTTTGCAAGTCGCTGACATGTTGGGTGAACCGGACAGCCCCTAAGTGCAAGGCCAAGCATTAAGACCGACATATGTACTCAAAAAAACAAGTCAAAAACTCAATTCAACAACCCACGGCCACYTTGAAGCCATCTCCTTTCCTCCAACTCCGGTCTCCAGAGTAATGCAAAAGCCCCTGGATGCTGCAGGTAAAAGGAAGAAACTGGAATCATGAGTCCCTTTGGAGAGCGTATCTTGCCTAGAAATTTAACCGATATTTAACATTTCGTCCTCATAAAAAGTCTATCCTCTCTCCTCACACA